GTGCTTTCATTTAGAGTATCGTGGCTAATGAAGGCGTACAAACTCGCCAGCGGGCTCTAGATGACCAAATACAGCAGGTTCGATAATCCGAACAACGAACGACGGAGGAGCTCCGGCGAGCCTTGGCTGATCAAAACCAAGCTCTTACTACTGCCATCAACAATGCTATAGCAGAATTATCAGTTAGAATCACCCATCTCAATACACTACCTGCGGTGTCATCGTCTACGTATTTTACGAGGTAAAGTGGTTCTTACTTAGCATTTTATGCTAACTGTTTGCTTCCTTGTATTTTTAACTTATCTTTTTCAGGTCTGGACTGATGCATTTCGAGAGCGTGATTAGAGGTTGTCGCCTTGGTATAGTCTGTTGTTCTAGAATGACCTTAACCTAAGCCCTTTCGGTTAATCCATTATTCGGTTATTTATCGGTTAGGAAGGTGTAATGACCACGGTCACCGAATAATCGACACTATTATATATATATATATATATATATATATATATATATATATATATATATATATATATATATATATATATATATATATATATATATATATATATATATATATTGTTACGAATAAGAGCATGCATTGAAAATGTGGTAACAAAAGGAGGACTTCAAGATTAATTACTCCATCAATCAAGCTTCGTTATTATGTTTGTGGATAAAAATATTTGTTGTTAGTTGGTCATGCATGCATGTTTGTTTCATTTGACTATTTCTTACTGCATTTCCTTTTGGTTGTTAGTTGTGCCGAATAAATCTCGGATAATTAGGATGCCGTTATTTGTAAATTTAATATTCGTTGAGCATGAGAAATAAAGTATAGGGCATTACCCTTTGAATCAAAACTTCCCTGTCTGAACTCTAATTAATCTATTTCTGCATCATATTTCTTTTCTGGAGGATTTCCACCCTCGAAAGCGGAACAACAACCAAAAAAAAAAATTACTTCCCCAATAATTTGGTGCTTTCATTGAGAGTATCATGGCTAATGAAGGCGTACAAACTCGCCAGCGGGCTCTAGAAGACCAAATACAGCAGGTTCGATAATCCCAACAACGAACGACGGAGGTGCTCCGGCGAGCCTTGGCTGATCAAAACCAGGCTCTTACTATTGCCATCAACAATGCTATAGCAGACTTATCAGTCAGAATCACCCATCTCAATACACTACTTGCCGCGTCATCGTCTACTTATTTTACGAGGCAAAGTGGTTCTTACTTAGCATTTTATGCTAACTGTTTGCTTCCTTGTGTTTTTGACTTATCTTTTTCAGGTCTGGACTGATGCATGTCGAGAGCGTGATTAGAGGTTGTCGCCTTGGTATAGTCTGTTGTTCTAGAATGAGCTTAACCTTTTGCCCTTTCGGTTAATCCATTATTCGGTTATTTATCATTTAGGAAGGTGTAATGACCGCGTTCACCGAATAACCGACATTATTATATGTATATATATATATATATATATATATATATATATATATATATATATATATATATATATATATATATATATATATATATTGTTACGAATAAGAGCATGCATGGAGAATGTGGTAACAAAAGGAGGACTTCAAGATTAATTACTCCTTCAGTCAAGCTTCGTGATTATGTTTGTGGATAAAAATATTTGTTGTTAGTTGGTCATGCATGCATGTTTGTTTCATTTTACTGTTTCTTACTTCATTTCCTTATAGTTGTTAGTAGTGCCGAATAAATCTCGGATAATTAGGAAGCTGTTATTTGTAAATTCAATATATTATTGAGCATGAGAAATAAAGTGCAGGCCATTACCCTTTGAATCAAAACTTCCCTGTCTGAACTCTAATTAATCTGTTTCTCCCTCATATTTCTTTTCTGGAGGATTTCCACCCTCGAAAGTGGAACAACAACCAAAACAAAATTACTTCCCCAACAATTTGGTGCTTTCATTTAGAGTATCGTGGCTAATGAAGGCGTACAAACTCGCCAGCGGGCTCTAGATGACCAAATACAGCAGGTTCGATAATCCGAACAACGAACGACGGAGGAGCTCCGGCGAGCCTTGGCTGATCAAAACCAAGCTCTTACTACTGCCATCAACAATGCTATAGCAGAATTATCAGTTAGAATCACCCATCTCAATACACTACCTGCGGTGTCATCGTCTACGTATTTTACGAGGTAAAGTGGTTCTTACTTAGCATTTTATGCTAACTGTTTGCTTCCTTGTATTTTTAACTTATCTTTTTCAGGTCTGGACTGATGCATTTCGAGAGCGTGATTAGAGGTTGTCGCCTTGGTATAGTCTGTTGTTCTAGAATGACCTTAACCTAAGCCCTTTCGGTTAATCCATTATTCGGTTATTTATCGGTTAGGAAGGTGTAATGACCACGGTCACCGAATAATCGACACTATTATATATATATATATATATATATATATATATATATATATATATATATATATATATATATATATATATATATATATATATATATATATTGTTACGAATAAGAGCATGCATTGAAAATGTGGTAACAAAAGGAGGACTTCAAGATTAATTACTCCATCAATCAAGCTTCGTTATTATGTTTGTGGATAAAAATATTTGTTGTTAGTTGGTCATGCATGCATGTTTGTTTCATTTGACTATTTCTTACTGCATTTCCTTTTGGTTGTTAGTTGTGCCGAATAAATCTCGGATAATTAGGATGCCGTTATTTGTAAATTTAATATTCGTTGAGCATGAGAAATAAAGTATAGGGCATTACCCTTTGAATCAAAACTTCCCTGTCTGAACTCTAATTAATCTATTTCTGCATCATATTTCTTTTCTGGAGGATTTCCACCCTCGAAAGCGGAACAACAACCAAAAAAAAAAATTACTTCCCCAATAATTTGGTGCTTTCATTGAGAGTATCATGGCTAATGAAGGCGTACAAACTCGCCAGCGGGCTCTAGAAGACCAAATACAGCAGGTTCGATAATCCCAACAACGAACGACGGAGGTGCTCCGGCGAGCCTTGGCTGATCAAAACCAGGCTCTTACTATTGCCATCAACAATGCTATAGCAGACTTATCAGTCAGAATCACCCATCTCAATACACTACTTGCCGCGTCATCGTCTACTTATTTTACGAGGCAAAGTGGTTCTTACTTAGCATTTTATGCTAACTGTTTGCTTCCTTGTGTTTTTGACTTATCTTTTTCAGGTCTGGACTGATGCATGTCGAGAGCTTGATTAGAGTTTTTCGCCTTGGTATAGTCTATTGTTCTAGAATGTCCTTAACCTAAGCCCTTTCGGTTAATCCGTTATTCGGTTATTTATCGGTTAGGAAGGTGTAATGACCGCGGTCACCGAATAACCGACACTATTATATATATATATATATATATATATATATATATATATATATATATATATATATATATATATATATATATATATATATTTGTACGAATAAGAGTATGCATTGAAAAGGTGGTAATAAAAGGTGGACTTCAAGATTAATTACTCCATGAATCAAGCTTCGTTATTATGTTTGTGGATAAAAATATTTGTTGTTAGTTGGTCATGCATGCATGTTTGTTTCATTTGACTATTTCTTACTGCATTTCCTTTTGGTTGTTAGTAGTGCCGAATAAATCTCAGATAATTAGGAAGCCGTTATTTGTAAATTTAATATTTGTTGAGCATGAGAAATAAAGTACAGGGCATTACCCTTTGAATCAAAACTTCCCTGTCTGAACTCTAATTAATTTGTTTCTCCATCATATTTCTTTTCTGGAGGATTTCCACCCTCGAAAGCGGAACAACAACCAAAAAAAAATTACTTCCCCAATAATTTGGTGCTTTCATTGAGAGTATCATGGCTAATGAAGGCGTACAAACTCGCCAGCGGGCTCTAGAAGACCAAATACAGCAGGTCCGATAATCCCAACAACGAACGACGGAGGAGCTTCGACGAGCCTTGGCTGATCAAAACCAGGCCCTTACTACTGCCATCAACAATGCTATAGCAGACTTATCAGTCAGAATCACCCATCACAATACACTACCTGCCGCGTCATCGTTTACTTATTTTACGAGGCAAAGTGGTTCTTACTTAGCATTTTATGCTAACTGTTTGCTTCCTTTTGTTTTTAACTTATCTTTTTGCAGGTCTGGACTGATGCATGTCGAGAGCGTGATTAGAGGTTGTCGCCTTGGTATAGTCTGTTGTTCTAGAATGACCTTAACCTTTAGCCCTTTCGGTTAATCCATTATTCGGTTATTTATCGGTTAGGAAGGTGTAATGACCGCGATCACCGAATAACCGACACTATTATATATATATATATATATATATATATATATATATATATATATATATATATATATATATATTGTTACGAATAAGAGTTGATGGGGTGAGGACCCCAGCCCAAGAAGGATTGGCCCAAGAGAGGGATCCAAGGTATAAAACATGGGCCAGCGTCGAAAAAGGCCCGGCAAGTGCTTGGGCCGAGCCCAGGAGTCGGCCCAGGCCCAAGCATAGGAGACTCGGTTCAAGAGCCGTTAAGGGAGCCGTTGAAGGCATTAAAGATAGGACACGGTCGGACTGTTATAGATCCATAAGAGCCGTTGGCCGGCCCGGTAACGGCACCCAACGGCTCGACAGTTGTAATTAGCCTTGAAGTCGACCATTAACGGCCTTCAAGTCGATGGGAGGGGAGCCTGCTATATAAAGGCTCCTCCGCCCTTGTAAAGGAGAGAGGTTGATACACGGAGAAGAGAGAGACACTTGAGACTATTGCAAATACTCTTCATTTCTTTTACAATCGTGTGAAAGGTGCATCCACCAACTAAGGTTGTGTTGGACCTCCTTGGGCCCGAAAATCCAAAAACCCACACTGGCGCCGTCTGTGGGGATCGAAACTAAGAGTTGCGTGGCTCTCTGAGCGAAACGAGTCCAAGAAACGACCGGGGAGAGTTCCAGAGTCGCCAGTCGATCGAGAAAGCTTCTAGCATGGCAGGAGACCAAGAACAATTGAGTAACCACGGCAACGGATTGGGGGCAGATTTGAGGGATCAGTTGAACCAGCGAAATGCTCAGAGCCGGGAGAACGAAACGACACCACAGGCTGTGGGAGAACGAAACAACACGACAGCTGCCTCGGGTACTACTCACCCCGGAGCAACTCCACGCGATCGGACGAGCCTTCGCCGAGGCAAGTCGAGAAGTAAGAGAACAATCCGTCTCTCGACCACCACACCGCAAGACGCAACATCTCAGAGGCCGGAAGACCGACAGGAGAATCGACGGGCTGAAAGTCAACCAGTACAGTCCGTCCACTCCAGGCTGGGCCCGAGTGCTGGACGACAGTCGGCGAGAGAACGACTTGGACAGAGGGATCCCAGTCGTGCACCGGCGGGCCCTCGAGATCGAGAAGCCGGGCGCGAAAGAACTCACACTCGGAGAACCAGAACTCGAGCTCGCCGTACAGAGAAACCTGTTCGCAATAATGACCAACCGGTTGAATCCGAAGTCGGCGAAAGCACAGAGTCGACTGGAAACCATACCCGTGATAGGGGTGAAGTAGCGCGCCTAACCCAGGAAGTGAGAAACCTAAAGGAACGGGTAGAGGGTAGGACCAAATCCCCCTGTCGAACATTATTGACCACCTTTCCCTTCTCGACCGAGATCATGACATTCAAGATACCGGGCGATTTTAAGTTCCCAGAACAGGCCATATTCGATGGATCCGGCGATCCTCGAGAGCACCTGCTGAGCTACCAAGCCAAGATGCAAGTCTTGGGAGTCCGGGACCCCGTCATGTGTCGCGCCTTCCTACCCACGTTAAAGGGCTCGGCCCAGAGATGGTTAGTGGCGCAGCCTCCGGGGTCGATTCATAATTTCAAAGAGCTGGCCGACCGCTTCATGAGCCACTACGCGGCCAATATCAAGCCGCAGAAGGACCTAACACATTTGGGCGACGTCCATCAAGAAGAAGGCGAGTCTTTGAAGACCTATCTAGCTCGCTGGCAGAAAGAAATCCAATCTATCGAGGAGGTCGAGGATCAGACTGCGCTCACCTTCTTCATTGAATCCTTGAGATCCAGTCAGTTATACCGAGATCTGCGGGATAACCGCCCGGCTACCTACGCGGAAGCCATACACATGGCCAACAAAAGGGCCAACACCGAGCAGGCCATGAAGCACAAACGTCAACGCGAAGTCGGAGGATCCGCTAGCGGAAAGAAAATGCGAGTCGAGATCAAGGAGAGGCGTCCGGAAGCGACCCGGCGAGCCGAGGCCAGACGACCATACGACAGACCCGTCGTGCACCCCTATTGGCCGGCTCCCGAACGGCCAGTTCATGAGATACAAGCAGTCGCTCCACCTCCGCCGATTGATGACTGCACACGAACGAGGAGACAGGTAAGACCTCTAAATATTGTCGCTAACATAAATCCTATACCCACAGCACGGAAGAGTGCTTTTACTTGAAAAAGATTATGGAGGGCATCATACAGCAAGGGATCCCGCCTCCTAATCAATGGAGGCGAAGGTCAGCAACGCGAGAAGACAGTGATCCCACAGTCGCCGCCGAGTGTAGTCGTGGCAAGCAGCCGGCTACTGAGGAAGATGAGGCCCAGTGGCGTCAGAAGCCGGTTATCAATATGATAGTCGGCGGATCGGAGGGCGGCGACTCAGCGAATACTCGAAAGGCCTGGGCTCGCCAGTTGTATGTCGGGACGGTGTACGGGCGCGATGAAGGCTCGAAGAAGGTGTGCCGAGAGCCCATCACTTTCACTGACAAAGATTTGCCCACGGGAGAAACGCCGCATCGAGATGCTCTGGTTATAGCGATGGATATCAATGGGGTAGTCGTTCGCCGGATCCTGGTTGACACTGGGAGCAGCGTCAACGTGCTATACCTCGAGACTTTCGCCAAAATGGGATTAACCCGAGAACAGCTGAACCCCGTCAAAATGCCACTCGCCGGTTTCACTGGGGACTCGGTGGAAGCAGAAGGATCCATCACCCTGCCCGTAGAAATTGGCAGTTATCCCGACGTACAGAAGCTCAACATGAAGTTCATCGTGGTGAATCTAGCCTGCTCACACAACGCTATACTCGGTCGACCGGGCCTGGAGGATCTAGGAGCATTGATTTCCATTGAGCACCTCTGCCTAAAATTCCGCACACCAAGTGGGATAGGCACGGTGCGTTGCGACAGGAGATTCGCCCGCGACTGCTACCTGCAGGCCTGCAGAGGGATGGGCAAGCGCGAGATGCAGGTCCATGAGATCACGGAAAGGCCCCCAAAGAAGGCGATGATACCTCTCCCTGAGCCGGTCGTGGAACTGGAGGAGGTCGAGATCGATCCCAATCAGTCAAACAGGCGGGTCCGAATTGGGGTCGGCCTCCCTGAGGAAGTGCGAGAATAAGTCATTAGAGTGCTCCGAGAGCACCGGCTGGTCTTTGCCTGGGGTCCGGAGGACATGCCCGGTGTAGAACGATCCATCAACGCCCATCGACTCGCCGTGGATCCTGACCATCGGCCAGTCATACAGAAGAAGCGATATCTCGCCAATGATCGGAGGGAGTTTGTAAAGAAGGAAGTGGGCACGCTGCTGGCTGCGGGCCACATCCGAGAGGATAAATACCCGGAGTGGTTGGCAAACGTAGTTCTCGTACCAAAGCCCCCAGCTTGGCGAATGTGTGTCGATTACACCGACCTCAATAAAGCTTGCCCTAAAGACCCATTCCCCTTACCTCGGATCGATCAGTTGGTCGATGAGACCACCGGGTCGGCCCTGTTAAGCTTCATGGACGCCTTCAGAGGGTACCATCAAATTTTCATGCACCCGGCAGATGAGGAGAATACCGCATTTTTGACACCGGATGGAGTGTACTGCTATCGAGTCATGCCCTTTGGACTTAAGAACGCCGGGGCTACTTATACACGAATGGTAGCCCGGCTGTTCCAAGATCTACTGGGAAAGTCCATAGCCGCGTACGTGGATGACATGCTCGTCAAAAGCCGGGAAGAGAGCAAGCATGCGAGAGATTTGGCCGACTGCTTTCAAGTGATGCTAAGATATAATCTTCGGCTGAATCCTAAGAAATGTGCCTTCGCAGTACAAGGCGGGAAGTTCTTAGGATATATGGTTACCAAGCGAGGCATTGAGCCTAACCCTGAGAAGGTCCAGGCCATCATCAACATGCAGCCTCCCAGTACCATCAAAGACCTGCAACGGTTAACTGGTCGACTAGCTGCCCTCAGTCGTTTCCTGAGCAAGACGGCGGATAAAACTATACCCTTCTTCGAGGCCATGAAGAAGAAGGAAGGCTTCGCTTGGACAACCGAGTGTCAGCAATCGTTCGAGGAATTGAAGTAGTACCTTTCCACGCCTCCAGTATTGCCCACCCCCCAGGTGGGTGAGCCTCTGCCTTTATACTTAGCCGCCTCCCCCAAGGCGGTGAGCTCGGTGCTGGTCCGAGAAGCGGGACGTGCCCAGCACCCGGTGTATTACGTGAGCCGCTCCTTGAAGGCTGGTGATCACCGTGCGCAAGCTAGCGCCCTATTTCCAAGCCCACACTGTCCGAGTGCTGACTGATCAACCGCTGGGGAGCGTCTTGCGGAACCCCTCGTCGTCCGGTCGCCTGGAGAAGTGGGCCGTGGAATTAACCCAGTACTGGATTGAGTATCAGCCACGGCCTTCCATAAAATGTCAAGCCTTGGCCGACTTCTTGGTCGAGTGCACGGCAGGAGAAGAAGATAAGGAGTGCACCGCGGAAGACAGTTTAGGCGAATGGTGGGAGATGCATGCGGATGGAGCCGCCAGTCGACAACATTGCTGGGGCGGAGTTATGCTAATCAGTCCAGAGGGATTCCGGCTGTATTACGCCGTGAGCTATTTGTTCCCAACGTCCAACAACGAGGCCGAGTATGAGGCTGTGTTAAATGGCCTCCGACTCGCCAATGCACTGGGAGTAGAACGATTGCGAATCAAAACCGACTCCAGATTAGTAGTCGGGCAGATCTCCGGCACATGTGAGGCAAAGAACGCCCGGATGGCCCTGTATAAGGAGAAGGCGGTAGAGATGTTAAAGGAACTCGGGGCATACGAAATAGAATATATCTCTCGGATGGACAACGTGGAGGCCGACATATTATCCAAGATCAGCCTGGAAGGAGTACCGGATCACCTCGTTAAGATTTGCCAAAGGGAGGAGCTGAGTCGGTCGAGTATCGAGGAGATGCAATTAGAAGTCCAGCAGGTGACTTGTGAAGAGTTGGACTGAGAGGAAAACCCCGCGATGTTTTGGATCGAGGATATCCGACGGTTTAAGGAGACGGGCGAATTGCCGGAGGACCCAAGAGCCGCCGCTCGGGTTCGACGGAAAGCCCCTTCGTTCCAAATCATCGATGGGCAAATGTACAAGCGGTCATTCGAAGGCCCTCTCTTAAAGTGCTTGCTCAAGCCCGAGGCCGAGAAGATAATGGATGAAGCTCATTGGGGCATCTGCGCCGCCCACCAGGGTGCCCACACGCTCGCCCGGAAACTAGTCGTCCAAGGATACTACTGGCCGACCATGATGCGGGATTGCATCGAGTGGATAGTTAAGTGTGGCGTTTGCCAAGCCTTCACTAGGAAGGACACCTGGCCAGCCACCTTTTACACACCGGTCACCACAGCCATCCCTTTTGCCAAGTGGGGGATCGACTTGTTGGGGCCGTTACCGGCTGCACCCGAGAGCTTGAAATTTTGCGTCGTAGCTATCGACTACTTCACCAAGTGGGTCGAGGCTGAGCCACTGGCCACCATCACCGAATATAAATGCCGCCGCTTCCTCTGGAAGAAAGTGATTTGCCATTTTGGCCTGCCGGAGCATATTGTTAGCGACAAGAGTCGACAGTTTGATTGCCAAGCATTCGCCGACTTCTGTCGTCGACACGATATCCGTCACACCAAAGTGTCCGTCGCATATCCACAGGCCAACGGACAGGTTGAGAACACGAATAGAACTATAGTGGACGGGATCCGGAAGAAGTTGGAGGACATCGGGGGAAATAGGGCGGATGAGCTCGACCGGGTCTTATGGGCTTATCGTACCACGCAGCGACAGGCGACCGGAGAAAGCCCATTTTCCCTAGCATATGGCTTCGAAGCCAAGGTTCCGATAGAAGTGGTCGAGCCTACCCACCGAGTCCGCAGTTATTCCGATGAAGAGAACGAAGAAAGCCTCCGAATTGAGAAGAATTTCTTAGAGGAAAGAAGGGAAGCCGCATGTACCCGGATGGTGGAATACCAACAGGCTGTGAAAAGGTATCGTGATCGAAGGACTCGCCCACGAACCTTCCAGGTTGGTGATCTCGTGTTACGAGACCTGGAAGCAAGCCAACCCACGGAAGGGGGCAAGTTTGCAGTCAAGTGGGAAGGGCCATACCGCATTGCTGCGGTGGTCCAAGCCGGCACCTACAAGCTTGAAACCTTGGAGGGTAGACCCGTAGACCGGATCTGGAACGTCATCCATTTGAAGAAGTTCTACCAGTAGAAAAGGTTAGCCGTGTGTAGGCGCTTGAGTCTCAAAACTTGAATAAAAGAGCATATGAATTACTGCCAACTATCGCTTCGACTCGGCAAGAAAAGATAGGAAACAAGGGCCAAGACCCTTAGTCGTTTCCGAGAAAAAGCCAAAAGGATTCGCCTCGACTGAGGGACTCGGCGAGTATATAAAGAAACAACGGGGCACTGACCCTAAAACGTTTCTGAGAAAAGAAAAAGCCTAAGGAGTCGCCTCGACTGAGGGACTCGGCAAGAAAAGATAAGAGACAAGGGCCCAGACCCTTAGTCGATTCCGAGAAAAAGCCAAAAGGAGTCGCCTCGACTGAGGGACTCAGCGAGTATATAAAGAAACAACGGGGCACTGACCCTAAAACGTTTCTGAGAAAAGAAAAAGCCTAAGGAGTCGCCTCGACTGAGGGACTCGGCAAGAAAAGATAGGAAACAAGGGCCCAGACTCTTAGTCGTTTCCGAGAAAAAGCCAAAAGGAGTCGCCTCGACTGAGGGACTCGGCGAGTATATAAAGAAACAACGGGGCACTGACCCTAAAACGTTTCTGAGAAAAGAACGAGCCTAAGGGCTCGCCTCGACTGAGGGACTCGGCGAGAAGAGATCCGAGATAAGGGCTCAAATCCTTATTCATTTTTTGTGAACTGAGGGGAGTCGCCTCGATTGAGAGACTCGACAAAGAACAAGATCGTTTTAAAAGAGTCCGGGGCCTTAGCTATTTTTGGTTTTAAAGTCGCAAGGCAGTCAAAGGGAGATCGAGGCAAAGACAGTTCGGGATAAGCAGAAGCGGGAATTTTATTAAAATAAAGGGCCCGATAGGGAGGCCAACCTTTACAGAAAAGGCTATCTAAAAGATTAGCCCTAAGCTACGGGGGAGGGGGTGTCGACATCGACCCCTCCAACTTGTTCCCCTGTCGTTGGTCCAGCTGGGAGAACAAAAGAAGGGTCCTCTGCCTGAGGGGAGGACTCGGTGAGCTCGGTGGGCATTGCCGCAGGAAGAGCCGCAGGATCAGCAGTCGTAGCAGGCCTCTCAGTCTTCGGCAGGAGCTCTAACACCGGCTTGAGGCCCCAGCTCTCTGGACTGAAAGAGGAGTCGCGAGCCAGCAGAGTAGAATGAATTTCCGTCTGCGCCTCGCGGAAGCCCAGGCGATAGTCACGCTCGCCCAGATCCAGAAGGTAGTCATCTCCCTCCGGCGACGCCAGCCATTCCTTGCCGATCTCCTCCTGCCTAGCCGCAATCGCCGCCTTCACGTCCGCTTCAAAATCCGCCGACTTCTTGTAATCCTCCACCGAAGTCGCAGCAATAGTCGCGACCTTGTCCACTCCTCCTCCCATTGACGAGTAACCCTCAGCAGCTCGGAGGTATGCATAGCCTGCTCTTCCAGGCGAGCCTCCTCTGTTTGGCGCAATCGAGTGGACAGAGATTGCAGCCCAGTCTTGTACCCCCTCAGTCGCCTGCTCATTTCCATCTGGAAGGTGAGGTTCTACAAGGACGAAGGAGGTCAGATAAAGAGAAGAAAAGAACAGAAAAGACGACAAGTCAGAAACACTTACGCGGTATGATTGGCGAAGCAAGGCCTCGAGGATGTATTCGTCCGCTATTGCGCCAGTCATCTCCACGTCCTTAGGCAGAAGAATGTGTTCAGCCCAGGAGCGGACGAAGGAGCTGCCCTGCCAGATCTAGGCGTCCTCATCTAGCTCGATGCCCAACCGGATCCTCTTTGGGGCCGGCGCATCCGATTGCTCGACTGGCCGCTTAGAGCTCGAACTTTCAGACGGAGGAGGACGCGGCAGTCGGGAAGGCGAGACGACGGGCGACGTCGTCAAGTCCACCACGGTACGTGGTGGTGGAGGAGTCGACCTTGAAG